GGAAAGATAGCAGACTGTGATCAGATGAAGGAATTTTAGAGTTCATGAACATAGAAGTGGTGCATTTGAGTGGTGATGACAAAAATCAAAGACTTTCTCTGTTTATAGCTGAGATGGAGTGCAGGTCCTGGTAATTGAACTAGTTGAGGACTTAGGGATATTTGAGGATGTTTGATGGAGTATCAATATACATGTTAAAGTTCCTTAGCATGAGAGCAGGAGTTGATGATGGGAGAAAGATTTTGAGTCTGGCACTAAATTCATATAGGAAGAAGGGAGAGTGTCCTGGAGGCAAGTTGGTAAGTCACTCACTTAACATGCATTTATTATGCATCTGTTAAGTGCTAAGGCACTGTACTAAGCCCTGGAGATTGAAAGAAAGGCTAAAGATAGTCCATACTCTCAAGGAGCTCACAGTCTAATGGGTAGAGAACATACAAACAACAATCTACATTATAAGCTATATATAGGAAAAATAGGAAATAATCAATAGAGGGAAGGAACTAGAATTAAGAGAGGTTGGGAAAATCTTCCTGTAGAAGCTGAGATTTTAGCTGAAATTTGAAGGGTGCCAGGGAAGGCAGGAAGCAGAGCATTCCAGGCATGGAGGTCAGCTAGAGAAAATGCTTTGAGCTAAGAGATGTGTTCTATTGTTTAAGAATAGCAAGCAGGCCAGTGTTACTGGATTGGAGTTGATGGGTCAGTTGTGTCTGACTCTTTGTGACCCCATTTTGGGGTTTTCTTGGCAGAGATGCTGGAGTGGCTTGCCATTTCCTTCTCCAGCTCATTTTACAGATGAGGAACTGAGGCAAATAGGGTTAAGTTACTTGCTTAGGGTTACATAACTAGTAAGTGTCTGAATTGAATAGAATATAAGAATTGAATCATTAGGGGCAGCTGGGTGGCGCAGTGGTTAGAGCGCCAGCCCTGAAGTCAGGAGGACCTGAGTTCAAATCCGGCCTCAGACCAAACACTTGACACTTACTAAGCTGTGTGACTCCGGGCAAGTCACTTAACCCCAATTGCCTAAAAAAAAAGAAAAGAATTGAATCATTATAATCAAATCAAGTAAGAATTGAACTCATGAAGATGAGTCTTTCTGATTCCAAGTCCAGTGCTCTATGCACTGTGCCACCTACCTGCTCTATAGTACATGGAGTATAAGAAGGCTGAAAATTTTGGCTTTTTTTTGGAGGTGGGTTATGAAGGAAGGACTTCAAATGACAAACAAAGGGTTTTATATTTGATCCTGTAGGTGATAGGGAGCTTCTGGAGTTTGTGTGTGTATGTGTCTGAGAGAGAGACAGAGACTGAAAGAGAGAGAGAGATATGATTACACATGTGCTTTAGGAACATCACTGATGGCTGAGGATGAATGATTGATGTAGGGAAAGACTTATGGCAGGCAGACAAATTAGCAGAGTATTGCAATAATCCAGGGTGGTGGCAGGATCAGTGGAAGGAAGGGGGCTTATTCAAGAGATGTTGCAAAAGTGAAGTCAACTGGTTTTGGAAACAAATTAGATATGATGGTGTGAGAGATAGTGAGGAGTCAAGGAGGACGCCTAGGTTTTGAGCCTGAGGGATTGGGAGGATGGTGGGGCCCTCAACAATAATAGAGAAGTTGGGAAATTGTTGTTGGTTTTTTGTTTTTTGTTTTTTTGTTTTTTTTTGGTAAGGCAATTGGTGTTAAGTGACTTGTCCAGAGTCACACAACTAGTGAGTGTTATGTATCTGAGGCTGGATTTGAACCAAGGTTTTCCTGACTCCAGAGCCAGTGCTCTATCCACGGTGCCTCCTATCTGCCCCTAGAAGTTGAGAAATTGAGAGAGAGAGAGAGAGAGAGAGAGAGAGAGAGAGAGAGAGAGAGAGAGAGAGAGAGTGTAAGATAATAAGTTTAGTTTTGGAAATGTTGAATTTGAGATCTTTATAGGACATCCAGTTCAAGATATATTGGTTAGTTAGTTGTTATCCTTTGTTCTTGAAGAGGACCAAAATGACATCGCTATGTTGGAGACAAGGTACAATGTGACTGACTATGGCTGATCAGACCAATACGAGCTTGGGAGGCTTTACCATAGATTAGGCACAAATAGTCCACATGAATGTTTGGAGTGGAAATGTCTCTAAATTTGTACATGTCATGTTTCTTTTAAGTTACTGCAATTTTGCTTCACTCATACAGCATAGTGCCTTCTTTGATCAGGGCATGGCAAGCTGGGTGGTCCTTTGCCAGTGTCTCCCATGTCACACAACTGATTCCAAAGTTCTTCAGAGAGACCTTAAGAGTGTCCATGTATCACTTCTGACCACCATGTGAGCACTTGCCTTGTGTGAAGTTTCTATAAAATTGTCTTCCAGGCCAACAAATGTTTGGTAATCAGAGTTGCATTCTCTGCAGTAGAGTTTGAATGCTTAGCAGTTCAGCTCAAGAAAGAATTTCAGTCTTGCCAGGTGATCTTCAGAATCTTTCTAAAACAATTCAAGTGGAAGCAACTCAGTTTCCTGGCATGGCTCTTGTATGCTGTTCAGGTTTCACAGGCATACAACAATGAGGTCAACATAGCAACTCTGTAGACCTTTAATTTGATGGGTAGTCTAATACTGTTTCTCTCCCACACTTTCTTTTGGAGCCTCCCAAGCATTGACCTAGCTCTGGCAAAGAGAGCATCAACCCCATCATCTATGTGTACATCCCTGGAAAGTATATTGCCAAGGTAAGTGAACTTATCCACAGCATTCAATATTTCTTCATTTGCTGTAACTAATGGTTCCATGTTTGGATGGTATGGTGCTGGTTGGTGGAAAACCTGTGTTTCTTGGTGTTAATTGTTAGGCCAAAATTAGCACAAGCAGCAGACAAGATGTATAATAGTGGCATATGTTAGACTAGTGGTCAGCAGAGAGGTTAAGGGTTGTATAAGTAAACTGAAGAATCATCAGCAGAGAGATGATGAGATCACCAAGTGAAATAATATAAAGGGAGAATAGAAGAGTACCAGGACAGAGGTTTGTGAGACACCAATGGTTAGAGGGCATGACCTGGATGAAGAAAAGGAGACCAAGGAGCAATCAGATAAATAGGAGAACTAGGAGGGAAGAGTGTCCTGAAAACCTAGAGAGAAAATGATATCAAGAAGAGGGAGCAAGGTTGTTTGCAGGACAGCATGGCTGGGGACCCTAGCCATGGCTTAAAGTGGAAAAGTGTGTTCAAAGTTGGGCCCTGGGACAAAGCTCAGAAAATAACAGTAAGAAGAAAACGTCAAACATCCCATTAGAAAAACAACTGATCTGGAGTACAGTTTGAGAAGAGACAATATAAAAGTAGTCAGACTACCTGAAAATTATGATTAAAAAAAATCTTGATACAATGTTACAAGAAATTATTAAGGAAAATTGCCTTGAAATTCTAGAACAACAGGATAAAGTGCTGTGTGTGCAAAGGAGGGGATTGAGTGAAAGCCTTAACTGGATTATTTTTGCCCATTCAGAACAGTCCTTCTTGGGGAATAGGGGCTGGCAGGCAGAGGCACCAGGATCAGCCTCTCCCTGGGGTCTATGTTGATTCCTCTTATTTTGTAAATTTGCTAAGGACCCTGGAAACCATCTGTGTGGGCAAGGTCATCAGCCCTGGAAAAGAACTTGTTTGGGTTCCTAAACAATGAACTTGGCTTTCTGAGAAATTGCAAGTTTATGTACAATAGATAGAAAGGATTTCTAATGATTGGCTTTTATACCAGGACAAGTTTAAATTTGAGAAGAAAAGATGTCAAATGAAATCTCTTATGTACGTGACTCCTAGTAAATTTTTATCGTTTATTGCAACTCTATGAGAGTAAAAAATAACTATATCTGGCTCCAAGCTATGATTAGTGAAACTTGCTGTTTGAGGTAAAAAGTTCTTGAGACTGTAATTAATTTTGAGTTTGAATTTGGGTATAGTTGTCTGCATTAAATCAGTATATAGGAGAAATTCCACAAGCCACTCAGAGAGAATGTGATCCTGTACTGTTAACAGGTGGAGATCTACATCTGGAAAAAACCTTGAGGACAATCTTAGCCTCAATCTAGGATGGGATCCTTCTGGCTCAGTTTCCCCATTGAGTTCCTTTGAAAAGGAATGTTTCCCGCCTGACTATTCCTGAGTCTGGCTATGAGGTGGAATTGATATTGCACGGTTGGAGAACTGTGACTCTTATCTGAATTCAAACAAAGCTAAGGATGTTCTATCCTGTCATATTTGGCATGTCACATGTCCCTGCTTGTTTCCTTTTATAGTAAATTTCTATGATCAAAGCAAGTGGTCAGGAAGACATGAGCACAATGTAAGTATGTGAGATCTTGATGTTTTGATCTAAATTTGTAGTCATTCCATGGCCTAAACAAAAGTTAAAATTGGTGTTTAAACTTATGATATGTAAAAGATTCAGTTTCTGGAATATCTCTTGCTTCCAGAGTGAATATAATTAGAGGAGGATAAACAGGCCTGTGAAACAAGGAGGTGAATCTATTCAGTTGTGAGTTTAAAGTCAGGAACCTCTTTTCCTTAAAGCAGTACAGTTATGATAGTGAAGAGTAATAATTTATAAGCTACCTTGTCTTATGACAAGGGAAAGGAAAGTTAAGTAGTCTGAGTAATGCATTCAAGAGATTTGAAAAGATAAAAAGGGGCAGCTAGGTGGCACAGTGGATAGAGCACCAGTTCTGGATTCAGGAGGACCTGAGTTCAAATCCAGCCTCAGACACATAACACTTACTAGCTGTGTGATCCTGGGCAAGTCACTTAACCCCATTGCCTAACCAAAACAAACAAAAAAAAAACCACTAAAAAAAAAGAAAAGATAAATAAAGGTTTGATTGAAAATATAGAAGGCAGATAAGAAGGTTTAGGGACAAATGAGAGACATCCAAGCCCCTCCTGTCCCTAGATAGTTGCTTTGGATACCTTTGTGCCAGTTTCAGATGTTTTAATTATGTTGAGTGTGAGGAAGTTTGACAGTATTTTAAGAAGAAAGGAAAATGATGTAGTTTGATTTGAAAATTAATAACTCAATCAAGTTTGAGATGGCTCTATTAGAAGGATACCAGCCCATATTTACTCCACTTCTGATTATTTTCTTCCTACACCTTTTTGGCCCTTGTTTGCTTAACTTCCTTGCCAGATTTGGCTCCTCTAGGCTCAATGCTCTCCACTTGTAGATGACCTCTTAGGCTGGCTATCACCCTCTGTCTAAGAACCAGACCTATCACCCTCTGGACCTGGTGTTGGCCAAGTTTCAGATACTGGCTAAAGAACCAACCACTTGAACAGGACCCCACGAGGCAAGGATAGCTCTACATCCAATCTCAGCGGGAAGCAGTTTCAGAAGCCGAGACCTTTATCCCTTGCCCCAAAAGATTTCAGGTCCCATTTGTCTGAGGGGGCAGTGATGGGGTACTTGTGCTCAGACCCCAGCCCTAGGATCATGTCTCTCTTCAGCCTTATATGATACTATTATTGTTTATTGTTTTATTATTTTTCAATTGTTATGTATTGTGTCATGTAAAATAAGTATACTCTCACATATTATATTTTATTCCTGATGAACTCTGAGTAGAATGACACCCTAGTGATAAAACAAGGACCACTGCACAAGGCACCAATAACACTGTTTCTCTCATGTATTACAGCTTTATGTATGCTGCCATGCCATTGTTTGTGGAACTCCTATTAAATATTATAATAGATACCCCTTGTTTTCTTTCTGGAGCTCCTTTTTATAATATTACATATAATCTTAGTAAGCATTATGATCCTGTATTTGTAAGTGTAGATATGTAAGCAGTGATAGGTCCCTTTACTTATATGTGTGTTACTTTTAATAATCTCACTGCTTTTCCAGAAAATTTCACTCATATTGCATGTAACAACTGTTTGTCCTTTTTTTTTTTTTTTGGCTAGGCAATGGGGTTAAGTGACTTGCCCAGGGTCACACAGCTAGTAAGTGTTATGTGTCTGAGGCTGAATTTGAACTCAGTTCCTCCTGAATCCAGGGCCAGTGTTCTATCCACTGCGCCACCTAGCTGCCCTCGCATGTAACAATAGTACTACTAATAGAATAGCCTTTAACAAGATGAATGTTTTTATGTATCTACATGATAATTGTTCATATTGGTTTCCCAATGTTATTGTTTCATGTCAAGGAGAAAGTTATAACAGTGTTTCTTACACACCAAAGCCATCTAAACCTCCTCTCTTATGGAAGACTTTAAATCATTTGTTGAAAACACTCTTTCGCCCTTATTATATATATATATAAACACCCTTTCACCCTTACTATATATATAATATGTATATGTATATATCATATATATGCATCACATATATATAATCACACACACACTATATATATGTATGTATCACAATGTAATTGTTGTACTTCTTGGTCTCAGTATGTAGTCTCTCTGCTAAATAGCAGTCTCCATGCACATTATTCAGTTTGTGCCTCTAAAAGATATACTTTTTTATGTGGACATTATACCACTACTATTTTTGTATATGAACCAGTTCAGCCCTCAGACTATCAAAGAATTATGCTATCCTATGCTTAACTGAATCCCTATGTTAATTATGGAACATGCACTCTGGGGTTGGTGAATCCAGGGATTTATCTATTTCAAACACAAAGCTACTAGCTGTTGAAGGAAGAGTATGTATGGTACTAAATACTTCATGTGTGTATGTAAATCACTCTAGGCAAGTTGACACTTGGATTCACCACCTCCATGAGATTGCTCAGTGGATTACATCTTATTTGATTGATTTAATCCCTGTTGGTATATTAATTCTTAAATTTTTTATGTTTTAGTCCATGTATTTTTAATTGTATAACTTCCTTTGTTATTACTTGGCTCCAAGCATTCACCTTTTACAAATAGAGTAGAATGTAGGGTTGAATGTGATGAATAAATTTAAAAAGACATTCTGATCTTGCTCAGTATGCTTGCAATTTGGCCCTCACTCTTTTTTCATGTTAATCTTATTTATAGCTAGACATTGAAGGATTGTTTATGGTATTTGCTCCCAGGAAGGGCTGGTCACCCCTCCAGGAACTGGATATTCATAAACAGGAATACTCTCAAGGATAGTTTTGAGAGCAGCTCCTTTCACATAGATCACATATTTTTGGCAAACTGCTTTCTTTGTTAGAAGGAACTACTAAAAGCAGGTAGCCCCGATTTTATCTTTGGAGTCTCCCTCGAGGTACAGATGTGTAGCCTGGGATTTTCCCATTGGGACTCTGGAGGCTGAAAACTGGGACTCCCCAGCCTGTGATCTAGATGTAGATGCTTCCCCTGATGTTGATGATTGATTGTGACAAGATTTGATACCAATTGAGGTAAGTTATTGTTACCTATTGGGACTTACTAACTCTAACTCTAGTCTACTTACTAATCTTAATCCTATTTTACTACCTTAATAATAAATACTTTTACTATATACTTACATATAAATCAAATTTGAGACTGTCATTTCTAAACCAATCCAAACCGAAACTAATTTAAGCTGCAATAAATAAGGCCGCTTAGCAATACAATCAGCTGGGGAATGGCTCTCATTTTTATAAATTTGACTCAATTCTCTATATATGTTTAAGAAATGAAGCCTTTATCAGAGAAACTTCAGATTTTTTTTCACAGTTACTATGGCTAAATATATTTCCATCCATCCTATCCCTCCCCCACTGTTTATTCTCTCTCTCTCTCTCTCTCCTTTCACCCTGTCCCTCTTCAAAAGTGTTTTGCTTCTGACTACTCCCTCCCCCAATCTGCCCTCCCTTCTATTATCCCTCCTTCTCTTATCCTTCTACTTTCCTGTAAGGTAAGATAGATTTCTATACCCAATGGAGTGTGAATATCATTCCCTCTTTTTAGCCAATTCTGATGAGAGTAAGGTTCACTCACTCCCTATCACCTCCCCCACCTTCCCCTCCACCGTAAAAGCTTTTTCGTGCCTCTTTGATGTGAGATAATTTACCCCCCATTCTATCTTTCCCTTTCCTTTTCTCCCAGTACATTGCTTTCTCACACCTTAATTTTATTTTTTAAGATATCATCCCTTCATATTGAACACATACCCATGCCCTCTGTCTATATATATCCCTTCTAACTGGCACAACAATGAGAAAGTTGTTATGAGTTACAAGTATCATATTCACATGTAGGAATGTAAACAGTTTAACCTTATTAAGTTCCTTTTCACATTTACCTTTTTATGCTTCTCTTGAGTCTTGTATTTGAAAGTCAAATTTTCTATTCAACTCTAGTCTTTTCATCAAGAAGGTTTGAAAGTCTTCTATTTCATAGACTGTCCATTTTCCTCCCTGAAGGATTATACTCAGTTTTACTGAGTAGGTGATTCTTGGTTTTAATCCTAGCTCTTTTGTCGTCTGGAATATTATATTCTAAGCCCTCCAATCCTTTAATGTAGAAGCTGCTGAATCTTGTGTTATCCTGACTGTGGCTCCACCATACTTAAATTATTTCTTACTGGCTGCCTGCAATATTTTCTACTTCATCTGGGAGTTCTGGAATTTGGTTATAATATTCCTAGGAATTTTCATTTTGGGATCTCTTTCATTTGAGGTAATCAGTGGATTCTTTCTATTTTATGCTCTGATTCTAGAATATCAGGGCAATTTTCCTTGATAATTTCTTGAAAGATGATGTCTAGTCTCTCTCTCTTTTTTTTATCATGACTTTTTGGTAATCCAATAATTTTAAAAATATATATCTTGGATCTATTTTCCAAGTCAGTTGTTTTTCCAGTGAGATGTTTCACATTGTCTTCTATATTTTCATTCTTTTGGTTTTGTTTTATTGTTTCTTGATTTCTCATAAAGTCATTAACTTCCATTTGCTCTATTCTAATTTTTAAGGAATTGTTTTCTTCAGTGAGTTTTTGTACCTCCTTTTCATTTGGCCAATTCTATTTTTTGAGGAGTTTTTTCCTTCATTGAATTTTTGTACCTCTTTATCCATTTGGCCAATTCTGCTTTTCAAGGCATTCTTCTCCTTGTTGGCTTTTTGGACCTCTTTTGCCATTTGGCCTAATCTGTTTTAAGGTATTATTTTCTTCAGGTTTTTTTTTGTGTCTCCTTTACCAAGCTGTTGACTCATTTTTCATTATTTTCTTGCATCATTCTCATTTTTCTTCCCAATTTTTCCTCTACCTCTCTTAACTTGATTTTCAAAATCCTTTTTGAGCTTGTCCATGGTCTGAGAACAATTCATGTCCTTTATTCTTTTCTTTGGATGTGGGAGCTTTGACTTTGTTATCTTCTTC